TTTTTTTTTTTTTTTTTATCCCGAAATGATAGAGATATTATATAAATGGGCACAAATGTGCAAAGAAACAACCAACAGCTGAACACAAACAAACAACAACTGAATAAAATTAAAAGGCAGGTCAACAAACTGCCTACAACGGACCCCAACAGGGTAATACTCAGTAACACTAAAAAACACAAGGACACTAAAATCTCTCAAGAAGAGAATGAGAAAAAGAAAAAAAATTATAATTATTCTTTTGTGTGGTTGGTTAGTAAATAATTTTATGTTATAATTTTACTTTATTTGGGGGGCATAATAATGCTCGATTTTCATTAGTTAGTCAATCATTTTCTGAAATTACAAAAGTCATTGAGCAAATTTGTTACTGACTATGTATTTCACAAATATTGCCATAAATATGCAATACAAATGGGACTAAATTATAAGTAAATGATTAATCAATCTTTCACATAGCATTTGTTATCAAACTTGAAATTTTCAGATATAAACTGTTTAATGCCGTGGATATAAGGGAAGATTATTTCAATCAATCCTATTCATGGGGTCAGTTTTTTTCATTATCTTGTCATGTGTTGTTTGTTTTGGATCATTACAACCATATTCAATCCCTCCAAAAACCCACCTTCCCCAATGGTCCCCCAAAACTCGAAAATTACCACAATGGCACTCGGAAAGTTTACGAGCCTCAACTCGACAGGTGGGCATTTCACCTCCATGCACGAATTCGAAGGGATATAAAGGCGCGAGATCGAATTTTTCGATGCTAAAAAAAAACGATGTTCTTCAATGGCTAGCCAATTCCCTCAACACGTATAACCTTACTTACCTTCCAACATGGTCCCAAGCTGATAAACAGACCGAACATCATTATCGAACAATAAATTCGAAAAGCAAATAAACGGCAGAAAAAGCTAAAAATGGTTTTAAAGGCTTCGGATAACGACTAATGACTCGATAAAGTTCTTTAGAAACTAATCAGCTAAACCTCATCCAAATGTCCAAGGCCAGAGCTATAAATTCCTTCCCTTCCGAAAAGAACTCTATACTAAAGCAAAAATTTTCTACACTCTAACTCATCTTGAACACTTAAAAAAAAAAAACCTAAAAAAAGCAAAAGGAAAATGGCAACTGCTCGTCTAGCCAGATTTATAACTGAAGTGGCGCCTCCTCAGTTCGTAAGCGTTATGAGGCGCCGAACAAGGACAATGCTCGACACTATACACGAGGAGGAAAAAGAAGGCGGGAACTATATTCATCTGCCTTCTTCCCTTGCCGGCTCGATTTCATCTCTGGATACTACAAAGCCTAACCAGCTTCTCAAGGAGGTTCAGAGGTCTTTATCCGTTTTTCCCGAATAAAGACCTCACTTTTTCCGGGTTTTTATCCAAAAGGGCTCGCAAGTTTGGGTTTCAAGTTCAAATCTTGCAGTGTGCAAAAATTTGAATCAGACAGTGGATGAACAGAATGTATCTATAAAGTTAGCAGATTTCGAGTTTAATGAAACTAGCACTATAGTCTTCTGTAAAATGTGCTGCATAAATCTTACAGTTTTTTTCGTCGTTTTTGTACCTAATGCGACCCATATGAACTCTACTCCAAATCAAGCTTACTGATTTGACACTGTATGCAAATCTCAGATATCTAAAATCAAACGTAAAAGATTTCACAGTATTCCTCCTAAATCTAAAATAAGTCTCAAATCTTAAAAAAATTCAAAATGTCACTCCAAATTCCAAACGAATCTATCTTAATAAAACTTACCATTAAACAGAACAGTTAAAAAGTCTTACTATTTTTGTTTTTTATTTTTCTTTTTTTCACAATATTGATTGCATCAATAACGCGTTGCCCCTTACTGTTATTAGGCAATTAATGAGGATTCATATTTTCCTTTAACAAATATGAGTATTTAAATTAAATAAAAGTATGGCATTTCATAGCATAACTATTCATTTTTTGTTAAGAGAATAACTACGAATCAACTCGCCTAACGATTAATCTACCGTAACGTATACTAACTACATTTTAAATATTACTTTGATCGAACCATAAATGGTCTCCTAACTTCCTTCATCCTATGGTCCAAGAAATTGAGTTGAAAGTTATACTAAACTAAACTCATTTTTATGTGTTATATTGTTATAGCAAATAATAGCTTTTATATGGTTGCTGTCTGAAATGAAGTACATGAGGCAGACAGACTCTTCTTTTTCATTTGCTCAGAAAGTCAAAAAGTGTTCTTTTGTTCTTTTGTCCAGCTTTCATTGCCAAACATTTTCGGATGCCAAACGTACCGTAAAGGCAATGTTAGAGTTATGGGTGCACAAAGTTTGGTTAACCGAGCCGAACCGACCGAAACCGAAAATTTCGGTTTGGACCGAAACCGAAACCGATTATTTGGTTTGGTTTTCGGTTTACATTTTCTTAGAATATCGGTTTTCGGTTCAGTTTGGATAATTGTGTGATCGGTTAACCGAACCGAACTGAAAACCGATTAATTTGCTTCAATGATTGATGATTTTCAAGCTTCATTGACCCCTAAAATTGCTCAAACATTATCTTGCACACAAAATTGGCTTTGTCATAGTCCATGTCACAGTTCGGGTCTGAAATCTTCCTTTGAGATGAATTTAGAATATATTGAGAAGATTAAACAAGGTATTTTTTTTTTGTTGGGATAAAACATCAAATTTTTTGTTTGGTTTAGAATTCAAAATTTATTAATAATATTAATTATTTATTGCGATTAACCGTAAACCGAACCGAACCAACCGCAGGACTTTCGGTCACAAACCGAACCGAACCGTAAATTTCGATTCAGAACCGAAAATTCAGTCGGTTCGATTCGGTTTTGACCGAATGAGCAGCCCTAGTTAGAGTAAAGTTACGGCAAATTCAATCAACTGCCGCAAGAGATTTGAACCGTCAGATCAACACACCTACACAAATGTGTGTGTGCGTGCGTGTAATCTGACGATTCAGACGCCAATGTAGGCACTCCACTCGATCGAATCTTAATTTACATAGAACATAAGTTGGGGTTTCTAAAGTTTGAATCTTATTAATGGGTTAATAAACATAGAGAAAATTACAATATATGAGCTAGTAACTTGTGGTAGTTTTGCTCAAATAATCTCTACAACAAATTAAGAAATTTATGAATATTCTACCCAAACACGTGAGCTAGTGAAAATTTCTTTCTTTATTTCTTTTTTTTTCTTTTTTTTTTTATATGTGTGTGGTTAGTTAGTGAATATTTTTTGTTATAATCTTACGTTACTTAGGGGGGCATAATTATGCTCGATTTTCATTAGTTAGTCATCATTTTCTGAAATTACAAAAGTCATTGAGCAAATTTGTGACTGACTATATATTTCACAAATTTTGCCATAAATAAGCAATACAAATGGGACTAACTATTAAGTAGATAATCAATCTTTCACAGAGCGTTAGTTATCAAATATGAAATTTTCAGATAAACTGTTCAATGTCGTGGATATAAGGGAAGATTATTTCAATCAATCCTATTCATGGGATCAGTTTTTTCATTATCTTGTCATGTGTGTTTTGGATCATTACAACCAACGGGAAATGCTACAGTCCTGTTACGAAACCATTCCGTCGGGATTTGTAACCGTTAGATCATCATGTAACCGTCGTGGATAGTTGATCTAACGGTTACAAATCCCGACGGAATGATTCCGTAACGGGACCGTAGAATCTCCCACAACCATATTCATATCCTTTTCAGCTTTTTTAACTCTAACCTAATAGTACACTTTCATCACTTAAACAATACACAACAAAGCATTTTACGCGACTAATTTTACGCAGCCTTGAAAAAGTCATAAATCGAAAGTTTCAATCCAAACAAAAACCCACCTTTTCCCAAAGGTCCCCCAAAACTTGAAAATTACCACAATGGCACTCGGAAAGTTTACGAGCCTCAACTCGACAGGTGGGCATTTCACCTCCATGCATGAATTTGAAGGGATATAAAGGCACAAGATCAAATTTTTCGATGCTAACAAAAAAACAATGTTCTTTAATGGAGCCAATTTCCTCAACACGTATAACCTACTCACCTTCCAACATGGTCCCAAGCTGATAAACAAACCAAACATCATTATCGAACAATAAATTTGAAAAGCAAATAAACGGCAGAAAAAGCTAAAAATGGTTTTAAAGGCTTCGGATAACGACTAATGACTCGATAAAGTTCTTTAAAAACTAATCAGCTAAACCTCATCCAAATGTCCAAGGCCAGAGCTATAAATTCCTTCCCTTCCGAAAAGAACTCTATACTAAAGCAAATTTTCTACACTCTAACTCATCTCAAACACTTGAAAAAAAAAAAAAAAATCTAAAAAAAGCAAAAGGAAAATGGCAACTTCTCGTCTAGCCAGATTTATAACTGAAGTGGCGCCTCCTCAGTTCGTAAGCGTTATGAGGCGCCGAACAAGGACAATGCTCGACACTATACACGAGGAGGAAAAAGAAGGCGGGAACTATATTCGTCCGCCTTCTTCCCTTGCCGGCTCGATTTCATCTCTGGATACTACAAAGCCTAATCAGCTTCTCAAGGAGGTTCAGAGGTCTTTATCCGTCTTTCACGAATAAAGACTTCACTTTTTTCCGGGTTTTATCCAGAAGGGCTCGCAAGATTCGGGTTCAAATTCAAATCTTGCAGTGTGCAAAAATTTGAATCAGACAGTGGAAACTTGAACAGAATGTATCTATAAACTATAAAGGTTGCAGATTTCGAGTTTAATGAAACTAGCACTATAGTCCTATGCTGCATAAATCTTACATTTTTGTTTTCCTTGTTTTGGTACCTAATGCGAGCCATATGAACTCTACTCCAAATCAAGCTTACTGATTTGACACTGTATGCAAAACCCAGATAACTAAAATCAAGCGTAAAAGCACAAATTCGACCTAAAGATCGATTATTTGAGAGATGAACGATAACATTTAACGATCAATCATCACTACCAGCTAAACACAGATGACAGACCACACAATCTCTCTCAAAATTTTTCAACGACTGTCGAAATAAAGAGTAATGTAGACAAAATTGAGGTATATTTACTCCGTAAAACTGTACAAAATCAACCGTCACGAATAAAGACTCACTTTTTTCCGGGTTTTATCCAAAAGGGCTCGCGAGTTTTGGGTTCAAATTCAAATCTTGCAGTGTGCAAGAATTTAAATCCGACTGTGGAAACTTGAACAGAATGTATCTAAAAAGTTAGCAGATTTCGCGTTTAATGAAACTAGCACTATACTCCTCTGTAAAATTAAAATATGCAGCATAAAACTTACAGTTTCTTTTTCTTGTTTTTGTACCTAATGCGAGCCATATGAACTCTAATCCTGCCGCCATTGAAGATCCTATTCCAAATCAAGCTGACTGATTTGACACTGTATGCAAAACCAAGAAAACTAAAATCAACGTAAAAGCAAAAATTCGACCTAAAGATCGATTATTTGAGAGATGAACAATAAGGATTAACTAGCAATCATCAATATCAGCTAAACCTAAACACAGACAACACTATTTCTCTCAGAATTTTCCAACAAACTGTTAACATAAAGAGTAAAGTAGATAAAATTGAGGTATCTTTTACCCTGTAAAACTGTACAAAAGCAACCGTCACAGAAGAAAAATCGAAACTCACGGCCGATTTTTGTGAATATTTGTGGAGGAGGTGAACATTATTACGACGTCGTATCAAGGGAGCAAAGCGATTATCATCTGTACTGCACAGAGAAATGAAGTGGGCAAGTGTTGTTAGATTCTATTTGGGCTTCATAGGGCAGCAGGCGAGTTTGGGCTCCAGCTAAGGGCCCAACCCATTAAGCAGGTTAATTTTCATTACTTTAAGTTTAAAACAAAAATGATCATTTATGTCCGTTTTAAAATATTTATTACTCTTTATAATAGTGGATAGTTTACTCTCTATTTATCCAATTTTTGTTGTTATTGTCGTTTTTAATAATTAATTTTCAATTACCAAACAAACCGAATCAACCGATCATTATAACACGGTTTAGTTCCTTCTCGGTTTCTGCAGTGCATTAACCGAATCAATTATACCTCACTTGTTCGAGTTCCGATTACTGAAAAAAGAAAAAGAATAATGATAACCGAGCTGGTCCAAGACCTAGTTTTTTAAGCATTACTTCTGAGCGAAAAGATCAGTAAATCACCTGCATCGGTTCATCCAAGTTACATGCGAATAATCGGTTTATAAAATTACACTCATTCACTTCAGTAGCTCGTGCAGCAAATAATACACTATTTGGCTTCGTTCGCTATTTTACAACCTACAAAACCATTCAAATATGACAAACAAACGGCTTCCCAGTTTTGCTCAACACTACCAGAAAACCACATTTTTCAACAGAGAGATTACTCTTGGGCATACAAAACATAACACATTTCGTGTCCGTACATAATAAACAAAATGCTCATGGAAGCCAGGTGCAAATATCATTCTTCTTCTTCGAAGTCAAGAAGGAAGTCGGTTAAGTTCTCCGAATCATCTAGCGCTTCGTCTAGGGACATGTCCTTTTTCGGTTTTACCTGCGACTAATAAGCTCGTCACTCACATTTCCTATGTGTCACCCAACAATGCATATTTTTTTATATTCTTTTTTAAAAATATTTAAATTTGAATGAGGATATGTGTTTTGATCGAGCACATATTTACTTTTTAACAGCTTGTTTGTTGATTGATTGATTGATTATTTTTTAAATAGTAAAAAATGTTCAATAAATGTTGAATCACCTTTGATTTGTTCGGTTCAGGATTACTCTTTAAAATACTCCAATTGCGAGTGAATTTCTCGTTCTTCTCTTCACTGGTGTTCTCATCTTCACTGTCCTCCTCTTCATCCTATAACAACAAAAATTGCAGCATAATAAACCAACTTACGCTAGGTCTCTACACTCAAGGAATTAACCAATCACTATTGACTTGCTTGGATACAAATCAGATTGAGTTTTGATTGGATTTTTCGGTCAACCGAGATAACTTTGAAAAAGTTGGTTGGGTTAGGTCTGAGTGAGATTTTGATTTTGTATTAATATAATATTTAAAATAAAATGATGGAAGTTGACTTGATGTAAAAGAAGAAAAGAGGTGATTGGAAGTTATGGGTAGTTAAAATTATGTGTGTGGATGAATAGTGAATTAAAATTGATGTGATGTATGAGGATAATTGATTGGTATTATCATTTACTAGTACGATACTCGTGTACAACATGGGTATATGATAAAATGTTAAATATACAACAAAAAATGAAAGCATTTACTTTATATATTTTATATATTTTGTTGAAGTTGGAAAAAATATATAAGGAACAATATATAAGAATTTATAATAAATAACTAAGTGAATTAACAATATTATTTTAAATTCTGAAACCTAATTTATATACATCATTTGTTTAATTTTAAAATTTATTTAAAACACATAAAGAGAATCATATGTACGAAACAAAAAAAAATGAAAAGAAGATGCCACTTAGACTCAGCGCGCGTTTTGTAATTATATATAGGGGGTATTGATAATATTGAAGAGAGTTGGATTGAGTTAAATTTGAGTTAAAAAAAAAGGTGATTTATAAAAACATGATTGATCAAATTGTATCCGAGCAAGCACTAACTATATACTCACTTCATTTTCGCCAATGTCGACAGCTTTTGCCATAGCATCATCCATGTCTATCGTTGTCTGTGGAAGAAATGAGAAATAATTATAATAATGGCCCATATAACGGAAATACGTAAAAATTGAAGGGGTAAAAAAAAAAGAAAATTCGTGTCTAGGACAGATTTTGATTCACTAGTAATGCACGGTTACCATAGTATTACATAAGTACTATTTTTGCTGCACTCTTACCTCAACTTCTACGGTCCTCCTCTCTTTTGCCTGAATCTCCTTCAGCTCCTCTCTGGTGATTATCTTGCCATGCTGATAAAATAAATAAATAAATACATAAATAAAAGCAAAAGAAAAACAAGACAATAAACGAGACAAGCAAACGGTAGCTATATATAAGTTAAAAGAGAGATAAAAATTAGTCAAGCTAGAGAAAAACCGAAGCAAAAACGGAGAATGTAGATCTAAACAAGAAAAAAAAAACATGAGTTGAGAGTAGATGCAATGTCTTCCAAACCTCCTTAAGATAATCGAGCATGTTTGGAGTTGGTTCGTGAAAATCCGGACCCCTGTAATCAATCACCTCATCTGGATCTTGAATATAGTTTATAGTTGGGTAAACAGGATCACCACCCCAAACTAAGAAAAAATAGAGCAAATCAGTGAGCAAGAAAATCAGAGAAGGAAATATAATAAAGGAAGGAAAAAAAA